CTCCAGGGCGGCAGCAGGGCCTGGCGGGCGGCCGGGCGCCTCCACGCGGGGTCGGGCGCTCTGCAACCTGTTTGCCGCGGGCGCGCGCCGTCTGGGGGAGGGGGACAGGGACAGGGACTTGTCTGCCTTCCCTCCCGGGACCTAGGCTGGCGACTGGCGGCGGTGTGGAGAGGCTGCAAGAGGCAGAGCCGCCGCGCCCGGGAAGGCGGTGGCCTCGAGGCAGGGAGGAGCGTGGGCTGTGCCCCGGCTTCCCCGGGCGGGCGCCTCACTAGGCAGCAGTCAGGTGCGGGGCAGAACTTTTCAAGGTCAGCCGGCACCCGCGCGCCTCCCTTTCCGGACCCTTGGAGACACCCAGCGCTTGGACTTGGATGTGGAAGAGGCTGTGGTCAAACAAGGAGGAGGTGTAGAGGGAGGGTGTGACCCCGAGACCCCACCTTCACTCCGGGTCGCATCTGGGCCCCCACCCCCAGCCTGGGCGGGGGCGAGGAGTGACATGTGCCCCAGTGGCCGCGCTAACTTGGCCCGCGGGTGCCGAGCCTGAGCGCTCACCGCGCCCCCGCCGACCATGCGGGTCCTCCGCGCGCCTCTAGCCGGCGCCTCGTGGCTGCTGCTGCTGCTGCTTCTGGGAGTGTCCGCGGACCCTACCCTCCGGGCCGCTCCCGAGTCCCACAACCAAACTTGTCACGGAGAGAGCTGCACCCCTGCCCTGACCCCTCGCCGCGCCGGCCACACTGTGGGGACGCGGAATCCGCCCCGAGACGCTCGGGCGGCCCGCGCGCCCGCCGGGGAGAAGGAGGAGGAGCTGGTGGCGGCTGTGCGCGCGACGCCCTCGTGGGACCAGCCGGCTGCCCCGCGAGGTGACCCGGCTGCGGCGAGACGCGCGGAGGCGGCGGGGGCACCCCTCGCCCGGCCGCCTGGCGCCTGGAGGTGGAGAGGGGTCCTGGAAAGCCCTGGAGCTCTGGCCAGGGGGCACCGCACGGCCCTCCTGCCCTTCCTGCAGACCCCAGAGGAGGAAGCTCAGGGTCCCAGGGGCGCTGGCTGGTTGGGTGTGAGGACGGAGCCCGGCAGCAGCCAGCTCTTTTACAGACCCAAGAGAGCCGGGAAATCCCAGGGCTCCCGCCGCGACCCCCCACCCAGGCCGGCCAGCGCGCCCCAGGGCCACGAAGGGCGGACCCTCGCGCCTCCTGGCCGGGCGTTGGCCCAGAATGGGTCTTCGGGAGACTGGACCCTGGACCAAGGCGGCCCCCGCCGGGGGAACAGCACCAGCCGGCGGGTCCGACTCAAGAACCCCTTCTACCCGCTGACCCAGGAATCATACGGCGCCTACGCCGTCATGTGCTTGTCGGTGGTGATCTTTGGCACCGGCATCATCGGCAACCTGGCGGTGATGTGCATCGTGTGTCACAACTACTACATGAGGAGCATCTCCAATTCCCTCCTGGCCAACCTGGCCTTCTGGGACTTTCTCATCATCTTCTTCTGCCTGCCGCTCGTCATTTTCCACGAACTGACCAAGAAGTGGCTGCTGGAGGACTTCTCCTGCAAGATCGTGCCCTACATTGAGGTAATGCTCTCCAGGGAGCCGCTGGGCATGGGCAGCCCTAAGGATTCTAGTGTCGCCAGAGGGCTGTACCCGGCAAGGAGTCTAGGGCACAAAACTACTGCTGGGCGCTTGTACCTGCCTGAACCCGTTCACTTTTCCCTCTGGTTCCCGCCTTACTTTCTCTTTCCTGTCATGTATGTATGGATGCATGTGTAAGGCCAGGGAGCTTTCTGTTGCCACTTGCAAACTCATTTACTACCACAGAGGATAGGGATCTGATAAAGACCTCATCGTGTGTGTTGTTGTTGTGTACAATCTTGTTAAACGCGCTCATACATCGCTGACCCTCTAGCGGGTTTTCAGAGGAAATCACACGGGAGGAGATTGCCCATCTTTCAGCTGGTGCAGCTGGTGGATTCGGACCTCTTGTCTTGAGTTGACAGGACAGCCCCTTACCATGGTCTGTAAATCTTGTTTTCAAACTATGGAGCTAGTTGTGTATCTGATGCATCACTTCTCAGCTACTCAAGAGTTAATAAGCGGCCAACCCACTGTTATCTTTGCCAGAACCACAAGAAAAACCAAAACAAATATCTTTACCACCTCTCTTCTCCATAGCCAGTGCTCTGACATGACTCATCCCCAAGCACAAGGTTGAATTAAGCCGTAAAATGCTCGTTGCATTCCTCCTCTACTGTCTTCAATATCAAACTTGGAGTAATTTTTTATTTACTTTCTATTACCAAGGAAATCTGCCTTTGTCAGTTGGTCTCATGATGTATAAATAACCTCCCAAATTAGTTCAAGTGTCTTTGGCGGTCTTCCATGCTGTCCCATCTAAATTCTTATGTCATGGCCCTCTCTCTCTTCTCACTCTCTCCCCCCTTCTCTCTCTCTGCTTTTCTCAGTTTCCCAATCATTGTATTGGTTTATGTGTAGGTATGGATAGACTCAGCTCCAAAAAGACTGGCTGTGGTGGCAGAGAATCCTTAACGGTCATGAAAGATATACTGTATATTTGCCATGGTTGTGGACCAGGGGGTTGGATAATCTGAAGGGATGGACCCTAAGGCCGTGGAATAGGTTCTCACACTTGGGGGATGGAAACCTTTTAAGTGAAGTCTGACTGTCTGGTCCTAAGTTAGTGCTTGAACAGTTATTACAGAGGTTAGAATTTGCTCTTTAAATGGCCTCTCTTTAAACACCAGCTCTTGGAAGGAGCCCAAGTACTTCACTGCCAGTTGTGTTTTTAGCCAGCTGGCCCCTGATTTTCTCCATTCAGACTGTCCATTTCATTTATGGAAGCAGAAGAAGGGAAACTGTAAATATTCCAGAGCCCCTGATCCTGTCTGGCACCAGGGCCAGCGGCACCATGCTCAACATTGTTTCAGGGTCTAAAGCTGGGGATAAGTAAACAGAAAACAGCTCTGACTTAGAAGTACCCAAGCAGGAGAGAGTAAATAAGACCCTCTGTTATCCTGACAAGGGTCAGATGCAGGAGCATTCCATGCCTGCTAAATCAGCTGTTGCTGCTTTACCAGGCCAGGCCAGGCCTCCCCGGTTGCCAAGCTGGAAGTAGCTCAGAAACATCTAATATATCTGAGAGACAGTTCATTTTTGAAATGAAGGGGAGCCTTATGTTAGAGACTATATGTCTGTTTACCAGTTGCCTTTTCAAAGCTGATTTCCGTGCAAAATTTCTCTGATTATTTGTTTGAATGATGCAAAAGCAATGGACTTGTGTGAGAAAGACTGAAAGTGAGTTATCTCAACAAAAGAGCATGTTTTGTTTGTGGTCTTGGATGTAGAATGGAAATGAAGAAAGTTCCTTACATGATGAAAGAGGAAAGAATAAAAGACTGAGGGAGGCATAGTGGGGAGAAAGCCCCAAATTCCTTGAAAGAAAACAGGCAGAATAAAAATCCCACTCAACCTCAGGAAAAAATATAAAAACTTTGGATAATTTAATGAAATTTATAACTTTTTAAATGATGGTATTTTATTACATTCTCTGCTTTTCTGTTTAACTGAGTTTGCCTTTTTTAAACATGTGCACACTTCCATTGTGTTTCATGTTTTTATAGTGAAAACTTTTTCACTTAGTGTTATTAAAATATATACTTTTTGTATTTTTGGTTAATTTTCTGCCATCTTTCTTGGTTTTCTTCGATTTTTCAGCTCTTGGTACTGGCCATTATTTTTTCAAAAGAAACAAAGGCTTAGGAAAACTTTGTTTTCTTCTTGAAAACTTTGTTGTTGTTGTTATTATTATTATGTGCTGTCGAGTTGCTTGTGACTCATAGCAACCCTATGTACAAGAGCCCTAAACCCTGCTCTATCCTGTGCCAACCTCGCTGTCTCCGGCCCACTCATTCCCACTACCCCAATCACAGAATTGATCCATCTTAGCGAAGGTCTTCCTCTCCTGCCCTGGCCCTCCACTCTCCTAAACATGGTGTTCCTCTCCAAGGACCAGTCCCTCCTTGCAACATTTCCAAAGTATGTCAGATGAGGCTTTAGAATCCATGACTCCAAGGAGCGTTCCAGCTTCACCCTCTCCAGGACAAACCTGTTTGTTCTCCTAGCAGTCCATGGTATGTATATTCAACACTCTTCTCCAGCACCACAGCTCAAAGATATCAATTCTCTATTATCCCTAGTCACTGTCTAACTCTCTGATGTTGTTGTTATGTGCTGTCGAGTCGTTTCCGACTCATAGCGACCCTATGCACAACAGCCCTAAACCCTGCTCTATCCTGCGCCAACTGCCCGGCCTCTGACACACCGATCCCGATTACCCCAGTCACCGAATCAACCCACCTCATAGAGGGTCTTCCCCTCCTGCGCTGTCCCTCCACCCTCCCAAGCATGATGCCCCTCTCCAAAGACCTGTCCCTCCTGGCAACATGTCCAAAGTATGTCAGATGAAGCCCCAGAATCCTTGCCTCCAAGGAGTAGCTTGGTTTAATCCTCTCCAAGATGAATCTGTTTGTTTTCCTGGCAGTCCATGGTACATTCAGTACCCTTATCCAGCACCACAGCTCAAAAGCATCCACTCTCCTGTCCTCCCTAGTCATTGTCCAACTCTCTGATGCATAACAAGCAATATAGATTGCAAAAAAAAATTTTACTGTTAAAATAGTGAATGAAAACCTAGGATGCTGTATTTCTTTGGTGCTGCCTATCAGAGCCCTGGTGGTGTAGTTTGTCTGGTGTTGCATTGCTACCTAAAGAATGGTGGTTCAAATCCACAAGGTGCTCTATGGAAGAAAGATAGGGAGTCTCTATGCATAACTATTTATAGCCTTGAAAACCCATGAGGGTCCCCCTGGGTCAGAATTGACTTGAAGGCCAGGGATTTGCTTTTGGTTTGATTTAACCCTTCTCCAAAATAGTCTTCTAACTTCAGCACGTTTGTGGAAATAGTTATGTGCCAGTGAGGTCTAATTACCGAGAACAAACAATGCAGTCATAGCTCAAGAGCAAGCATTTTTGCCCCTATGAGATTCCACCACTTTGGCAGAAAAGTAGTGGAAGTTACTGTCCGTTCCGTGTTCTCAAAACAGCAGACTCTGAGGTAGAGATATGTTTGTGGGAAGTTTACTGGGGAGTGCCCTCAGGCTGGACACTTCTTAGCTGTATTGGGCAGAGAGAAGTGAGCTGTGGTGATACACTCCCAGATAAGATCTTTGCTGACCCCAGGAGGATGGTGGGACTGTGGTGGCTAAATGGTTGTCCAGAATTGAGGCAAGGATTGTTGTTAGTTGCCATGGAGTTGACTCCATGCATTCATTCATACATACATACATATACACATATACTAATATACTATAATATAATACAAAACAATCTTCATACTTTGTGATGTTTAAGCTTGTTGTTGTAACACTTGTTTCAGTCCATTTCACTGAGGGTTTGCCTCAATTTCACTGACCTTTTACTTTACCACTAGGGAGCTCTAGGGACACTGTGGTTAAGACATTTGGCTTCTAACCAAAAAGCTGGTAGTTTGAATTCTCCAGTTGCTTCGAAGGAGAAAGATGGGGTGGAACGTCTGTAAAGATTTGCAGCTCTGAATCCCCATAGGGGGCATTCTAAAGAGCTTTGGGGGCCTAGCGGTAAGGAGCTGCTCTACAGTCCCGAAGGCATGCAGTTCAAGTCCACCAGTTGCTCTGCAGGAGAGAGACGGACAATCTCCTCCCATGAGATTACACTGCTTCTGAAAACCCACTGGAGGGTTGGCTTTGACTCGACAGCACATGACAACAGGGGCAATTCTACTCTTGTGTTTTTTGGTCACTGTAAGGCAGAATCAACTTGATGAAAATGGATTTGATTCCTTTTTTATGAAATATGGTAAATAATTGGTCTTTCCAGATGATGGATCCAAGTAAGCAAGATAGAATTTTGTCATCCACCCTAACTAAGGAGCATTCTGATTGTTGTTATATCCTCTGTTGGACTAGGTACTGGATACAGGCTGCCCCAGCAGAGCAGGAGTGAGCCTTGGGCAGGGTGGCTCTCTTTGGTCACCCACGATTCCCAGAGAGGACACAGCTGAGAGCTGCCAATCACCACCAGTCCTGGCACGTGGGAGAGGACTATGCCTTTGCTGAAGGACTTTGGGGCTTAAGGGGCGTCGTCTAGGGGGTGGGAGAGCACAGTACCCACTTCAGTGGTATTTATAACCCCTCCTTTTAAAGAGGAACCAAGTGAGCACCCTAAAAATTGCATACCTATAAGGAGCTCGGATGGCTTAGAGGTAAGAAATCGCACTTACAATGCAAAGTAAGTGGTTCGAATCCACCAGCTGCTCCCAGGGAGAAAGATGGGCCGTCTCCTCGCGGGAGATTTACTGCCTTGCTGGAGGGTCAGCTATGGGTCAGTTCCACCTCGGTGGAACACACGAGAAGAAGTCACTGACAGAGGAGCCCTGGTAGTATAATGGTTCTACACTCAACTGCCAACCAGGAGATCGGGGTTCAAACCCACGAGCTGCTCCATGGGTGAAAGATGTGGCA